ATATAATGTTTTATACGAAAATAAGTAAATAATTCTTTAGATGGAATATGGAAATTATCCACAATCTGTTGAAATGGTAAAATATCATCGCCCTGCATAATATCCGATAAAGTTAATGTATCTTTATTGGGCCAGTGTCTCAATGATAGATCCTCTACATTCTTTTCTAATATATTTAATTTACATGTTTTGGGGATTGAGTAACTTACACCCAAAATTTTTCTGATTTCAACCCATGTTTCCAAAGAATGAGCCAACGATATTAAGCCACTAGGCAAATCCGTTGGCAACTTCACAGGATCTGACCATATATATGGATGAAGAGTAAATACATGTAGGGCTTTAGACTCTAATTTATACCAAGGTTCAGAAAAAAAAATGGTTCTTGTAAAATATATATATGTCGTATAGTATTGGCATAATATAAGTTAGTAATGTTTGGATAATTTATCCCTCCCTGAGAGAGTTTATTATAAATATATTTTTGACTTATTCTGGGCTTTTTATTTTTCCAAATAAATTTATTTATGGCAGATTGTATCATAAGAATCCACATCTTAGGGATTTTGAGGGAAACCATTGATAACAAATAAGACCATTTTGGTAAAATATAAGAGTTGATAATATTAATTCTGCCTATCCATAGTGTTTCTAGATTTTTCCATTTTTTTAGATTTTGATTCATTTCCTTCATTAACTGCATAACATTCCTCTCCATTATTTGGGAAGCATTGGCCGGAAAGCTAAGTCCCAAATAATAAATTTCTGAGTCTGTCCAAATAAACTGATATTTTTGAGATAGCCTTTCAACCAAAGTCAAGGGTAAATTAATAGTTAAAGCAGTAGATTTAGAGACATTTAACTTGAAATTAGAGATATTAGAAAAATTGACAATTTCTTCCATTAATGGCGCCAATGAATCTTCTGGAGATGTAAGGGATACCAGGGCGTCATCGGCATACAATGCAATCTTAATGTCTTGGAATTTCGTGGGAACACCCTTTATTAACTGATTGTTCCTAATATTTACCGCAAGAGGCTCAAGAGATAGAATGTAAAGAAGCGGTGACAGAGGACAACCCTGTCTAGTACCGTTTTTAAGATCGAAGTAATATTAGGACCTACAGTTCTGGCTGAAGGGTCAGAGTATAATATCATAATTGCGGTGTAAATCCAACCCGTAAAGCTGTATGCATTGAGAAGTTCACTTAAATAGCCCCACCCAACCCTGTCGAACGCTTTCTCTGCGTCCAGAGACAGGGCCAGGAGGGGCTCCTTATTGGCATTGACAAGACCAATAATATCTATAAGTTTCGAGTGTTATTTGATGCCCATCTTCCTGGGATAAACCCTATTTGGTCAGGATGAATAAGTTTAAAAATGACCCTTTTCAGTCTCTCAGCTATAATAGCTGAATATATTTTCATATCAACATTAATTAATGCAATTGGTCTATAGTTTTTAGGGTCCGTACTATCTTTACCCGGTTTTAAAATGGGAACAATGTTTGATTGTAATAATTCCTTTGGGATAGTCTCACTTTCAGCTGCTTGATTAAACATTTCAGTAAGAGGTTTTAAAAGATAAGATTTCATATATTTATAATAAAGATTTGAAAAACCATCAGGGCCAGGAGTTTTATTTATAGGTAATCTATCAATTTGCAATTGGACTTCCTCCATTGAGATTTTTTTATTCAAAATGGTCAGATCCTGGGAAGAAATTCTGGGAATTCGAGACTATAATAAATAATTTTTAATGTCCTTTATTTCTGGGGATAGCCTTAAATTGTATAGATCTTGATAAAATTGATTAAACTTTTGACCAATCTCCAATGGAGTGGAGTATACAGTTTGATCCACTACCAATTTTTCTACTCTATTTTTGGCATATTGATTACGAAGCCTTCTAGTGAGACTCTTACTCGCTCTATTACCCGAGATGTAGTAATTTAGTTTTAATTTATTTATATTTGACCTTATTTTCTCCTCTTCCTTTAAATTAATTTGGAGTTGTAGATCCTTTAACTGAGTTCTCAGCTCAAAAGAAGATTGTATTTTATTCAATTTGGAACATGAATAGAATTCAATATATAAGTCGGACAATTTTCTACCTTTGTTTTTCTTAAGGAGATAGTCTAATTTAATTATATAACCCCTCATTACAGATTTATGGGAACACCAGTTTATTAAGGGAGAGGTGTCTCTTTTTTTAACATACTATAATGAGTGGTTTGTACAAAAATATATCCTATATTTAATATACAGCAATGAGTGTTCTGTACACAGTTTGATATGTGTCCTTTATTTAATATACTGCAATGAATGTTCTGTACACAGTCCCACATTTACCATTTATTTAATGTACTACAATGAGTGTTCTGTACACAGTCCCACAAATACCCTGTATTCATTATACTGCAATGAGTGTCCTGTACACAGTCCCACATATACCCTTTATTCAATATACTGCAATGAGTGTTATGTACACAGTCCCACAAATACCCTTTATTCAATACACTGCAATGAATGTCATGTACACAGTCCCACATATGCCCTTTATTCAATATACTGCAATTAGTGTTCTGTACACAGTCCCACATATGCCCTTTATTTAATATACTGCAATGCGTGTTTGGTACACAGTCCCAGATATGTCCTTTATTTAATATACTGCAATGAGTGTTCTGTACACTGTCCCTCATATACCCTTTATTCAATATACTGCAATGAGTGTCCTGTGCGCAATCCCACATATACCCTTTATTTAATATACTGAAATGAGTGTTCTGGACACCGTCCCAGATATACCCTTTATTTAATATACTGCAATGACTGTTCTGTACACAGTCCCACATATACCCTTTATTTAATATACCATGATGAGTGTTCTGTACACAGTCCCAGATATGTCCTTTGTTTAATATACTGCAATGACTGTTCTGTACACAGTCCCACATATACCCTTTATTTAATATACCATGATGAGTGTTCTGTACACAGTCCCAGATATGTCCTTTGTTTAATATACTGTAATAGGTTTCAGTATTCAGTGCAAGATATATCCCTCATTTAATGTACAATAATCAATGTATATATAATGAGTGCCCCAATGACCGGACATGCTATGTGAATCATTTGGATACAAAGCACAGTTTCATGGAAAGTATTTAAAGTGTATTCATTTAACTCGGACACCAGATTTTAAGTGCCAAGAGAGGCCCATTATTTGTCAAACCACTTGAAAACAGTTTAAAAAGAAAGCGAGCTGCTCAGACACTGATTCGCTCCATAACCCCTCCAATAAGCTGTAGTTATAACAATGATTTATCATAGTGCTACAACCTACGTTAATATTCTAATATTAGCTTCCCACTAACATAAACACAACTAGAGTCCTAAATGCAGTTAGTTTGCAAATAGTGACCTGGCACCACATCCACATGATTTCCGATGCTCGATTGTTGCCTGGAACATACCCACAAGTTATAGTTGGGCCCATTTTATGTGCTTAGAATTAAGGGCATGAAAATCTGAATATTCCTTACAGAAGTAAAGCTGTAATAAAGATTATTTGAAATTTCAGTGCTGCTGGATCTCGTTTTTTTTTTTTTTTTATGTTTCTGTCAATTGACTTTATTCCCATGTCTTTTATGACTTTGTACCATGGAAATTAATTTTGTGACTGTATTCCTAGCATTATAGTTTCCCTAAAGATTATTTCTTTACAAAACCTAGAATAATCTACAATATTACAACATGACGGGAGGCTTCATAGTTGGCATTTTTATTGCTCAATAAGTAATGAATGAGACACGTTAGGAACAGGACGGAAATAAACAAACAAACTAAAAGTATCTTCTCTGGACCAATCTATCTATTGAAGAATGGCTGCCAAGAAAGCCCCAGTGGAAAAAGCCAACGAAGATGCTGTGTTTGACCAAATGTGCCCAGACGAAAAATCCACCTCCACCTAAAATAAAAGCCAATGTACCCAACGTTCAAGCGTCATAACTGATATGACAGTGTGGTTTCACATAGGACATAAATAACTGACCAGATTGCGAATCACTGAAAGAAGAGTACCATCTAACAATGAAAACATAGCCAGTCCGATTAGTACAGCGCAAAACTGAAAAACAAACCTCTGTGGGAGTAAATGAAAAACTATCCACGTCAAAAGCACGCACATCCAAGACCCTATGAAAATAAATTAGACACAGCAGTATTTTGAGTTTTACGGACAGCTGATAGAGCAAGAGACATTCATTCTCAGGCCAGCTCCACAGGAAATACAACACATGTTTAAACACTGGTTTCCACTGAAATGTCGAAAGGGAAGAATATTTCAGAGATGAGGATGAGCCAAATTGATCCCACGCATTAGACGAAATGCGAGAGGATCCTTAACCTGTGTCATAATGTGGGCTACCGTGACCTTGGAATGAAAAACATTTACCACCTGGTGACTTTCCGTTCATAAGAAACAAAGACAACAAATTCAACACAGAGTAAACACAGGCCATAAAAGGATCGAAACCCATTTGCAGACACGAGTCACATTAATAGCTTTGTCTTGTAACAGGGCCCAAGAGTCCCATAGGAGAGTCTGCGCCATCTGTGATAGGCCCTCAATACTCCAGGATGCCTGGAAACTGTCCAAGCCACCAGCTGGAGATGATCCTGGTGGACTAAAGGATGGGAACAATGGCTGACTCCACAAGGTGAGAGTTACCAACATGATAAACACCCAATGAATCATCACAAAATGAGGAAAAGTGTAAAGCCCCTGTCATCAGCCACTCTGCAGGTACACGTCCGCCTGGGACCCGGCGATTCATCTGTGACGCCAATAGATCCAGTAAAAGGACCCATGGCTTCCACTACATGGGAGAAGATCATCCTGTCCAGCATTCACTCGCTGTCGTCCATTCAATGTCTGGTGAACCAATCCGCCATTAGATTTGTTGTATCCACCAGATATTCCACTGTCTGCGTAATGTTTGTGTGAAAGCAGAATTAATACATTTCCTTTGTCAGATCCAACAAAAGCTTGGTGTGATGGGAGTCACCATCACCAGGAGATTCAGACAAACACTTTATGTAGGACCCTGGACTACTCCTATATCCAAGAAACCCTGTGACCATTATAGGTGCAAGGTGTGTATAACATATTTGTTTATTGTTAAATGTTTTGTGTGCTCTCCTGTCCTGCTGATGCTTGTTACCAACTATGTGGATTTGGCTAGGGAACCTGTATAGTGCCATCTGTTAGCAGGATCAGCTATATTGCACTACCAGAATAACAAGTCTTGTTAATTTGCATATTTAGGTAGATTTGCATATTACTGTTTCTGCAGGCAGGAGAGCTATTTTGTGTTTATTATTGCTTTCCTCACCCCTTTGTAAATATGTCATTATGTTATCATAAGTTCCTGTATGTTGTCTGATATGATTATGTGTATTTTATTGAAGTTGTCACACCAATCTAAATGTAATGAGCATATGAGCTAGTCCGGAGTACAAATAAAGCAGAGTATGTTAGTGTGACGAAAGTAACCTCGCCAGCCTCTTGCCTCAGGACTATGGGCCCTGCAATATACCTTGCCCAATGCACTTTAATAGGCTCTGTTCATATGAAGTATGTACTTTTGTACTCCAGACAGAGAGACCGACCGTTAGCCCTAATTCTCTGGAGCTGTCTTGGGCATGGGACCATGTTCACGGTGGGTCAAAAATAAGACTTCCAGGAAATTCCTGAACTGATCTGGGTGATTTTTGGATATGTTGGTCACCCAGATCAGGGCTATCTGAATTTCTCCTTGCACTGGTGGGAGGCCAACAATTGGCAGCTTAATTCCTTATGTTTCGTGTGTTGGACTTTGTGGTGAACAGAACTTTGCCACAAGCTTTTGGAGTGGCCTGCTTGCCAGCCTCCTGCCAAAGGACTATGGGCCAGGTCAGCGATTGTAAAGACCCAGATTTTATTCCCCCTGGTTCAGCACTTTCCATAGAACCGAACGCAAGTTCACTGGCGGCCGTTCACATGGACCAAAACCACGAATAGACTTCAGGTGGACTTAGTCGCGAATGGCCTGGAACTATTTTTGGCATTAAAACTTTGCGGTTCCCCAGCAGCACGTAGCCACGATTCTATGTAACTGTTTTGGGCATGGGACCATGTGTGCGGTCGGCCAAAACTATGATTTCCAGGAAATTCCTGAACCGAAAAATGTGTGTTTTTGTGTCTGGAGATAATTGAGATAATACAGTACTTGACTCCATTATCTCCCAGGTACAGAGGATGGATTGCCCTAGTTTGTATGGGAGTGTCCTGGATCTGAGAGCCAATGTGATTGTGTATTTGTTTCTACTATGGTTTACTCTCACTTCCAGGGGGGAGTGCCCCTTGCATGGGGACTGTCATAAAAGGTCAAGTGTGGTCCAATAAAAGTCAGTTCACATCACCCTCAACACCTAGCCTCGTCTCGTGATTGTAGGTACCAGCTATACCTGCTTCGGATTGCTATACTGGCTATAATCACTAGCTCTTGTAAGAGTTGCACAGCTATACCTGCTAAACTCTCTGGAGTAGGGGAGGTCCACCCACTGGAAGCTGGATCCTCGGCTTGGGTCCAGGGTGAGAGGAGGACAGCAAGACCCCAGCCAAGCTACGGCGGCTAATGGGCTACGTTGCTTATGGTGTCCGGTGCTTATTGTACTCCAGACTACTATAAAGCAGCGATTGGCGGATGCACCCAGTCGACGCTGCGATGGATGCATTCATCCAGATCTGGCCACTCATGGAGGCATATACATTGCTGCCTTTCTCCATGATACATAGGAATTTCCATCACACCAAGCTTTTGAGAGTGTAGATACTCTTGATTTCACCACTGTTGAGGAGTCAGCTGTGGTTCCCTCTACATCTGGGGTTTGTCGTACGAAGACCTGTTATTGCTTCCTGCCTCCAGGTATCTCCTTTGAAATCTGTCTAGGATCCTGCACATGTTGATGTTCGAGAGTTGCCCTGGGACTGTTGGACTCTGGGCACTAGCAAATATAAAACGTCAAAACAAATGGTGGTGGGGGGGTTATATTCGCCTCCTGTCTTGCCATAAAATTTAGATTATTCCTTCAACAAGGCTAGAAAAATCCCTAATTTCTAGTGTTACGGTACCTTCAGTAATAAATGTACATACCGTCGTTTAGTGAATGCTCCCCGTTCGCAATAATGGTATCTGGTAGCGTATGCAGTATAACCATGCAAACCACCAGCCAGGGAACACTCCAAACTCCCGAACGGTACCCGTACGGCTCCTTCCCTTCACGAGCTCCAAATACACGAACTGCCAATATTAGCCGAACGCCAATATCTTCCAAGCGGCAAATAATTCCAAATAGCAGTCTCTAGTCGCCGGTAATAAAATCCCCCCCAATAACGAGACCAAGCTTACTGTGGGCTATCTGCCCGTATTTATGCAGGTCTCCCACTTGGTGGACACTCCCCTAGGGGACCAAATGGGAGACTGGAATAGCAGATGGACATGGGAACATTTCAGACATACAGTCCCACAATATTCCCAGCATGCATCACAGTTTCCTCCCCTCTGCTCGGGAGATAATTGAGAAGTAATTCAATTATCTCCCAGAGCAGAGGCAAATCGCCATTTTAATTACAAGTCACAAAACACATAAAAATACATAACTTTATAACTGCCGAACATATTACATTCATGTAACACATCCCCAGATAGCCTGGATCTGAGTGCATATTATTGGCGAATAGCGCTCAGATCCCATACGCACAGTTCAATCGCCATGGAGTCTGTAATGGACTGTTTTGCCCACAAGAGGTTAAAACCCGTTTAGGCGATATTCCCCTTTCAGATGCACAGACAGCTATTGCAATCACCAATCTCCAGAACTGCAAACTACACTAATTCTCCAACTCCCGAACAGGAAACTCACGAATACTGGAAACAGCTGAACAGGAAAAACCATTTGAAAGGTTTACACTCCTGGCAGTCAGCATACAATCCAATTCTCCCAATAACGAGACGACACTTCGTTTGAGGGTTAAGCAGAATCTGGTTTACTGGGGCTACCTGCCCGGCTTTTATGCAGGTCTCCCACCTGGTGGACAGTCCCCTAGGGGACCAGATGGGAAACTGGGAAACATATTGGCTCTTAGCCAATCACATACATACACCTTTAACCCCTTAAGGACCAAACTTCTGGAATAAAAGGGATTCATGACTTGTCACACATGTCATGTGTCCTTAAGGGGTTAAACACTCCCACAATTACATCACAATCCCTCCTCTCTGTCCTGGAGATAATTGGGAAGTAATCCAATTATCTCTAAGGACAGCGGCAAAACTCCATTAACCACATGGCAGTAAAAGACATAAAATTACATACAGTCACATTTATTACCTAAAACATATACATTCTACATATCCCCAGATAGCTTAGATCTGAGAGCACATTACTACCGAATGGCGCTCAGATCACATACATACAGTTCAATCGCCATGGAGCCAAAGTCTTTCCCATAGTCTTTCGTTACACAAATAGGCTCCATGGCTTAGCTATCTGGGTGATGCTGTTCATCCGGTTAAACTACCGAATGAACAGTCCTTCGGTTCTGCTACCGAATGGGAAGGTAAGGAGGCTGGCGGCTCAGCGGTGTTCGCACCAATAAGTGTCCGTTTTCAGATCCATAGTTTGGGTGCTGAACACCGCTGGCCATTCGGGAGGTAAAATGGCCGCTGCCACGTGTTCGGCAGACGAACAAAGGCCACCCAGCGTTCATCAATTAAGCTGCGGTTAACCGCAGCTTCTGGGTGGTCAATTGACGGCACACTCCAGCTCCCAGGTGGTCCATCGTTCGGTAGTTTGTTCGGTAGATTGAATCTACCAAACACCCCGGCAGAAAGACACGAATAAACCTTTCAGTAGGAGAAATAACAGGGCTGAACTGCAGGGCCATAGTCTAAAGGGAGCAGGCGAGCAATCAGGCTTCTCCAGTGTACAGTGGCGAGGTTGGTTCCGCCACAGAGCCAAAGTCTATTACAGTTCTTCGGTATGCGATTGACTCCATGGGAAGGCTATCTGGGGAAAGTCCATTCGTGCCTTTAAAATCTCCCGAACGGCCAGTGTTCGCACACTTTTGTCGATTGAGAAGGGAGGTCGACGGCTTCAGCAGTGTTCGGTTGAAAAAGTGTCAGTTTTTAGTTCCATGAAATAACCGTCAAACACCGCTGGTCTTTCACATGGTTAAAATGGCCGCCGCCTCATGGTCGACATACGAACGACGACCACCCTGTATTCGGTTTTAATTGAGAAGTGTCTGTGGTTAACCGCAACGTTCTAATTGGGATCAATAGGTTAACCAGCAGCACATTTCTCTTCTGGGTGGCCGTCCGTTCGGTAGTTCCGTTCGACAGAAAAATACATTCCCTTAAACAAGGCATACGAACACAGCAATTCTAGTTCATACGGATGGGTCTGTCATATGTAGTACTACTCTGTGGCTGTTATTGGTTTGTTGAGATCACTGTAAGAGTATACCTTTTTATATTCCTCACTTTGCATTATATTGGTGTTTAATCACAATAAGAGGAATATGTATTTTAGTCTGTATTGTGCACGCTTTTTACACCACGCAATTTTGGGGTTTTTTAGGTGTATAATGAAAGAATGACTGTTTGCTTCTTAACCCCTTGGTGACTGATGATGTGTGAGACATGTCATGACAATCAAACTCTAATATCTCTTGCCATATTTGTCCTATATCTTCCAAATATTAATAGCATTTTCACAATCAGAAAGTGAATCAATTTTACAGCATGACAGGAGGCTTCATATTTTGTATTCCTTCATTAAAGGGAAACTATAGTGCAAAAAAAAAAAAAATTGTTTCCTGGCACTGTAGCTTCCCCCTTTGTCAAGGGCAGCTTGACAAAGGGGAGCGGCTAGTTGCTAAGGCCCTTGTCATATTCTGGTGCCCATCTTGGTCTCGCCCAACATCTGACTCTTGTATCTGAATGTGTGAGGGAACGGTTGTGTTAAGGCTTCCTCACAGTTTTTGACTGATTCAGTGGCCCATTCAGTAGTACCAGCAATGAGAACTCACTACGTTTATACACTGCTCAGCCACAACATTAAAACCTTCCATAGGACAGATGTACATCAATTGCCTGGAACTGATAGCAGGATCCTTTGCGAACTGAAGCCTGACCAA